GTCGTACGCCGCCTGGCTTACTCACATTGCACTGCCTCACCGCTGCTCGGCTGTTGGATGTACAAACATCAAGAAAAACACACCGAACGTGAGCTTCTTTAAATTCCCGAAAGCTACCGCGCACCTCAAGAAGAGAGAAAAATGGATTCAAGCGCTGCGACGCCAGAACTCAGACGCGGCGCCTTGGCAGCCATCTGCGAACTCGCGTGTTTGCAGTGTCCACTTCATTGGAGGTTAGTTCATTCATATTTGTTTAAACTCAGGAGATACCCGTCATACTTCGTGCAGACTAGTCATTCATAGCAAGGTTTTTGTTCTTGAGTTTTACGACGCAGGGGTATCTTCACGAGACCAGAATCACCCGGACTTCGCTCCCTCCTTGTTTACATACAAGCCGACACCTGCCTCCGCACCGAGTTTGCTTGCACGGTACAGCAGGGCAGCGAAGAGGCGGGACGCCAAGCCGTTGTCACGAAAAACGGATCTTTACACTGTCGCATAGTGTAAGGCGCAGGCCAGCTATGTGCTGGGATGTTCCGCTCAACCTGCACAATTTATATTTACAATTGAAACTCATTAAAATATTGAATACAAAAATGTCCTACTACAGAATTTTATATCAACATGTCATCAAGTTCGATAAGTAGATCGATGACATAGCATCGCTCTTTTTAGTTTCATGCTGAAGCAACACAAAACAGACGAAGACGACAAATCTTGTTTTTTGTTTTGTTTTTTTAGATAACTTATCGCATCACGCATAAAATATGATCAAAGGACTGGTACACATGGATCTCGATACAAATGTGCCGAAAGGATAGCGACTATGAGGCTCACGCCTTACAAATATTGACACATCTTGTAATCCCTAAGACACATTATTACATCACCACCAGTTTTACCGAAGAAATAAACTCACCCTGCAACGCAGTCGCAAGATGCTTGAACGATATCGGTGCTCTTAGAAAGCAATATCAGTTGCCTGTAATGTCCCAGCTTCATAGACGGTGCACACGTGCTCCTTACAAGGTGAACGGTGTGGACAGGATCAAAGTTGTTCACCATGACCTTCTTGACGTACGCTTCTTCTTTGAAGGCCCATCCTTTCCGGAGTTGTCTGCAGTTCTTCACGAAGTACCGATCGACGCACGTTGTGTTGACGACCGGTACCAATGCAGCACCGGCACTCCATCCGTCTTGAAAAACGTACAGACAGATAAACTCCGCAGTGTCGAAGACGGTTGCTTTACTCGATCCTCCGGGATCGTCATCAGCCATTTGTAGAGAACGACAGCCGGAAAACAGCGAGAAAAGCTTTCCACATTGAACGCACCGAAATGATTGTGTCGAGGAAGCAAACGGGGCGACGGGTTGACGAACTGAGCCCACAAACGTTTTGAATTATCCCTACGAGGGTGCACCACAGTCGCTTCGACGAACTCTGATAAAGGTCAATTGATAATTTGCAATACATATGTTACACACACTAAACTGTTCTCATGAAAAGCTTTCTAAGTCCGGATTCTGGTTTCAAATATGCATGTGTACTTCAAAGCTTGTGAATACAAGAATAAAATAGAAAACACCAAATAATACAAGTGGGATAAAAATTATATGCAGGACGAAACCCTCGAGCTGAACATTTACGAGCCAACTGAACAAGAAGCTGCGCAGTCAGCACCTCCAACATCCAAGAGGAACCGCCGCCACACAGAGGAAGCGGCACCAAACAGGGCGGTGCTGCTGCAGGCAGCCGTTGACAGTCTGAACACTGACAAGGAGCCGCCGCAGCCGGACGAGTGCAGGAGCTTTGGGCTCATGATGGAGAGCTGCGCCCGCAGTGTACCAATGGGTGCGGACAGGCAGCTGGCCATGCTGGCCGCCCACAGAATTATGGTGGAAAACTCCATTGCAGCCGGTTTGGTTATGGTGCCTGAGGTAGTGGAAGGAGAAAATTAAAAGAAATTTGAGCTTTAGTTTGAGCTTTATATGTTTTTTTTTTGTTCCACAATGCCCCACACTTTCTCACTGGTTGTGTGCGGTGCTGAAAAAAGGTACTCGACGAAACATGCACATTTGTGATAAGCTCCGAGGTGGACCCCCCACCCGTGCTTACACAAGGTACTTTTCTGTTTCAGTGCTTGTGCCTTCTGCACCACTGCAAAAATGTGCTCAGGCTGAGCAGTCAAATGGGCTGAAGGAGGAGACGGAGAGGACGCAGGCAGTCTACAGCAAAGCTGTAAACTGCCAGTGCAGAAAAAGTACACGGCAAGACGATATATCAAATTCTAATGCAAGATAATGAGCTTTGCGCAGGCTCAGGAAAGAAGCTTTCTCTGTGCACACCGACAACCCCCCTTGCAGATAGAGACGGTCCGTTCACAGGCAAAAGCAAGGCAAATTGGACGTGTCAAGTGTTTACACAACATCCGCCTTTAAAATATGACGACACTGGTTCGTGCTGTAAACTAGCAATTTAGCCACTGCGCTGCAACTGCTAACCTGGGGGGTCTTTAACATGTATCATGGAGTGACAACACAACTACATGCTCGTGCCATGCTCGTCCTTATTATAACAAGCAGGAGAGGGGATCGAACCAAGCATCATTCTGTCCTTCAGTGCAAGCTTTCGGTCCCTGCAATCACTGGGTAGTGTAGCAGATTTTGCTCAAATAAGTGGAGACTGAAACCGGACCACAAACTGCCACTTTCTCAGGCTCGATCCTCACCCTTGTCAATAGAGTTTCTGTTATTTTGTGTTGAGGTTCATAGGCCAACTGTGTGCGTGTTTCATTTTCACAGCTAGTGTGTTAAACTTGTTCAATATGCTGGAGTGTCTTGTCTCTACAGGGTGAAACAAGGGCCAGGCTCTTTAAATCGACCGGAAAATTCGGTTTCTTAACCTATCGTGCTAAGACTTTGTGCAGCGTTGCCCACAGATGGTGCATTTTTTTTTTTTTGTAAAATTTGCAAAGAGCGAACTTACCTGAGGAAAAAGTAAAGAAAGAAAAAGGCTTAGGTCTTATGGAAACGCAGCGACGCCACCGGTCTGCAAACAACACGGCGCCGTTTCGCACGGGAGATAAGAGATGGCGCAAGCGGTCGCGACGCCAACTGCCGCCAACGAACGAGCAGACAACGCTGAGAGCCGGCCCTTTTGCAGACAAGGAACTGCAGTCCCTTGCTGTTACCGCGCCTGTCTTTTTTGTTTCTGCGACTGTCGCCGCCTGCGGAACGCGCGCCGCTTTTGAGTCGAAAAGATTGTATGCTAAAAAGGCCTGCTCTCGGCGCCGTATGCTCGTTCGTTGGCGGCGTTTGTTGTGCCCTCTCGTCTCCCGTGCAAAACGGCGCCGTGTTGTTTGCAGATCGGTGGCGTCACTGTGTTTCCATAGGAGCTAAGCCTTTTTCTTTCTTTACTTTTTCCTCAGGTAAGATCGCTCTTCGCAAATTTTACAAAAAAAATGCACAATCTGTGGGCAACGCTGCAGAAAGTCGTAGCGCGATAGGTTAAGAAACCGAATTTTCCGGTCGATTTAAAGAGCCTGGCGTCTCCTTGTTTCACCCTGTAGTTTTAGTTGGTGTTGGTACTCGGGTTCCATCAGGCAGCTCTGACAACAATGAACTTTGACTGTACACGAAGAACCATAACTTATTTATGATCCTTCAAGTGTGCGCAGTGTTGGATCCTACATCAACTCAATCTAATAAGCCTCAAGGCTTGGTTTGTCCGGTATGACAACAGGGTGGCTAGTGTGACCGCAGTAAAGTTCATAGCAGTATGGTAGTATTCCTAGGTAAACAATAACAAACATGACTGAACTTCCGGCAGGCAGCCGTCTCATCCGGTCTGGCGCACTCGCGGTGTGTTTTGATGGGCGAAAATGAGCAGCGGATATTTTAAGTGCCTTTCAGAAGAAAATAAGAGGAAATATATCGAGAAGCTCACCTACCATGGGTCAGTGTGCCTCCCTGACCCCTATGACACCAAGAACGCGACTATTTTCTCATCCGATTTGGCGCGCTTGCCAAAAGTTACGTGGCCCTTCCTGTTTGACTAACTTGTTGAGACGCCTTGCCCATTCACACGCGAGAAGTTGAAAGCTCACAAATCTCTGGAAGCATTCAATTATTTTGTTAATGGAAAGGTAGCAAGCGTGTGCATGCACCAGCCCACTTCGCTCCCTCAACTGCGCCTCATCGCTGCAACTGTGCAAGCCGGACAGAAAGGAGCTCGCAGTTACGATTCCTGGATCATAGGTGAAGATGGTGGCGAGGTCCTGGCTGGGCACTGCACCTGTATGGCTGGGTTAGTGGTCCATGATTAATTTAAGGATGCGCTGTTAGCGATATTGAAGATGCCCCGTTTTGACGTGGCGTTTGCTTGCTTCTGTACACTCTAATCATGGTAACCTTTAACTTAACTTTTAGTAGTGAGTAACCTATAAAATAAAGGTTACAAGTCGTTTATTTTTCGTGTTTTCGTTATTCTTGCGGTGACTAAAGGTTACAACAGCCAAAATTTGACGATGCAAAGGTTACCATGAGAATTAGAGCCATGTAACTTTTGTACAGTAACGTATGAATGACGTAGTAACCTATGCACTCTCGTCCGAAAAAAAAAAGAAAACATCGCCTGATGAGAGTCCCTCTTTCACCAGGAGAGGGAAACAGCAGAGGAGCGCGTCGACAAGGCCACCAAGGCTCCGAGGTTTCATTTTTATAGTTTTAGTTTTAACGCGAAAGAAGTATACTTCTTTCGCGTTAAAACTAAAGCTATAAAAATGAAACCTCGGAGCCTTGGTGGCCTTGTCGACGCGCTCTATACTTCTTTCGCGTTAAAACTAAAGCTATAAAAATGAAACCTCGGAGCCTTGGTGGCCTTGTCGACGCGCTCCTCTGCTGTTTCCCTCTCCTGGTGAAAGAGGGACTGTCATCAGGCGATGTTTTCTTTTTTTTTTCGGACGCCTTGCTGGCAGCATCCTTTCGCAATAAAAAGAAGAGCAAAGAAGAACAATGGCTGTGAAAGCCTGAGTTGCTTAGCGGTGTTGCATGCTGGGAAGTCAGTACGGCGGGAATGAGTGACCGCTGTCGCGGCTGTCTCGCGTGCGCCCGGGCCGTTTGAGCGCCATTTTTTGGCGGCACATTTCTTGCGCCAATACTCTGTTCGGAGCGAGTTGGAAGACTCTCGGTCTGTTTCGACAAACCACAGAAGCAGTTATGTCGCTAACCAGCAGGGACATGTGGGGTGTACTGCGCGGCAGTTGCAGGGAGCCTTTGTGTGACTGTCAGCGCTACGTCGTCGTGTGCCCATCAGACGAAAGCGCGGCAAAGATTCGTTGTCAGTTCTGCAATCACTGCCCAAGCATTCACGGAAGAATCACCGATTTGGGTAAGTGACGTTTCTTCCTAGCAGAACCGTTGCAGTAGCGACGTGCGAGCTCTCATTTTCAAAGCTCGTTATTTGTGTGCATTTAGGACCAAAATGATTCTGAGCCGTTTTATACGAGTGCATGTCTGTCCTCGTGGCACTCTGTGTCGATTTAGCTCTTTTTATGTGTAATGCCTGTAGATGAGCCCTACCGTAGCTGTCTAGTGTCGTCAGTGAACGGTGTGGTGGTAATGCACGACTAATTACTGCCTATTTACATGCTTGCGCGCGCGGTGGGGATATGCGTGCTTTTGTGCATTTCACATAGGCGCAAGCTTGCAATGTACGGCTGCGGTATTATTATTTTTGGTAACTGAATTTTGTAACTCTGTACGTCTTATCACTTCTTGCGGAATGGCTTTTGCACCGAAACTTTTCGCACTACGTTCAGGGTACAAGATAATATTTAATGTGTGGCATGCAGAATTGATCTAGGCATATATCCCTGTTTTAGTCAAGAAATAAAACATCCTGCTCGTTTAAGGTGTGGTGCAGAATGAACGGTGTAGGACAGACAATTATCTCGTTTTGTTGTGCAATTATTCCGTCACGTTTATTTATTTATTTTTATTCTACCAATAGGTGACACAGAGCAAGGACTTACTGTGCCACCTATTCTATTAATAGTTGGCACAGGGATAAATGGACCGAGTGAAGTGCAACAGCCGTATCATCCTGATTGTTCGAAAGGTTGGTGGGCGCAACATGCTCGCAAATATATACTAAAAAATCCCGTTATTTTACTGAAAGTCGCGCCTTAATAGCCAATCACGGTGTCCTAAATGAACCGCTAGTTCGATGCAGATTTTTTTTATTGCTTTCTGATTTTTAAGTTTACATTTTACCGGTACGATAATAATTTACCACTAATTACTACCAGATCACATGCCTTTGAGAAAAGTGGTACCGTGCATGCTTTTAATGCTTGATTTACGCAAGCCTTCAGTGTATAGCTATATAAGTGGGCATGGAAGCTCTGCAGCCATGAAGTTGCTCATGTTTTTCGTCCTCCCGCAGTTCCTGAGCGTGTCGGCGCGTGGGTCCCCAACTAACTGGAGTCACGATGACGGCGCGGTTTTCTTCCGGCATCCGGACGGCAATCTTCAACCTGCCAATCACTCGTCGACAGCACCGTCCTGTCCTGGTATCAAGTTCATCGAGAACCTCGTTCACACCACGTCATCAGCAGGGACATCGACAGCGGCAGCTATAAAGGAGCTCCCCTTGCGACAGCGCGCCAGTGGGCATGGAAGCTCTGCAGCCATGAAGTTGCTCATGTTTTTCGTCCTCCCGCAAGTTAGTAAACAAAAACCTTGAAATTGTTTTAAATCAGACAATGTTTGCCTTGTTATGCTTCCATGCCCCGAAGCTTGTATTGAGTCTTTTAGAGTTCTGCTGCTGTTGTTGTCTGGTGATGTTGAGCGGAACCCAGGTCCCATGTCAAAACCCCAAGAAGAACAATTACTTAGCTTACAAGAAACAGTCGATAAACTTAAAAACAGTCATGCTATACTTCAACAAGAAGTAGACCTTCTAAAAGAAAAACAAAAACAAAGTGAACAGACAGTTTCAACACTTGAAGAGCGACTTAACAAACTCGCGAGTGAACTCGACGCACTAAAGCAGAAGGATACTAGTAGCGCCGCGACTACTGAACCCCAGCTTACTGCAGCCTTAAACGAACTATCTCAGCTAAAAACACGTTGCGATGATGCAGAGGGCAGGTCCCGTCACTGTAATCTTTTATTTTTTGGCATCACCGACGCAGACAAGGAAACGTGGGCTCAGTCAGAGTGCTTGGTCACTAGCTTGTGCTCCGAAAAACTAAACGTGCAAGTTGAATCATCTAGGATTGAAAGGGCGCATCGCCTAGGAGCATTCGACCCTCAGAAATGTCGCCCAATAATAGTAAAGTTTTCTTCGTTTAAAGATAAAGATAGCGTTCTTTCATCAGCCCACAAGCTTAAAGGAACTCGCGTAGCCATCAGCGAATACTTCCCAATTTCTGTCCGGCTCGCACGCCGTCACCTTCTTGATTTTGCAAGGCCAAAAGGCACCCCCTACAGACTGCGTCATGATAAACTTTTTATAAATGATAAGTGCTATGTATTCAATGCCGCTCTTGGCGCCGTTAAAGAGAAAGACACATAGCCACGCCAGCGCTTTTTCTCGTCGCCCTCTAGGAGTCGACCGGCAAAGCGCCATGTTATCACTAACAAATCTTCAAGTCATTCTATCCTATTTACTAACATTAGAAGCCTATAATACCAAAGAGAGACGAAATAATTTCAGTAATCGAAGCGTGTAATGCCGCTTTTGTTGTACTTACAGAGACGTGGCTAAGCCCTGATATATCTGACGTTGAGCTATTTCCCTCGCAACTAAACTTTCGAGTGTATAGGTCTGATAGAAAAACTAGAAAAGGAGGGGGCGTACTTTTGGCCATAAAAGACCATATACCATCACGGCTAATACCGCTTACCACTGACCTAGAAGTTGTTTGGGTGTATCTTTGCACAACGCCTTCCGTAATAATGGGTGTGTGTTACAGGCCGCCGGATAATAAAAGAGATTTTGTTATAGAGCTGTATAAATGCCTTTCTGAACTCGCATGTAAATATCCTAACGCTTTAGTTACCCTTTTTGGTGATTTCAATTACCCAAATATTGACTGGTCTACTATTTGTTCTAGCTGTGCATCTTCTCAAGAGTTTATTGACCTTTGTTTAGATTTTAACCTATCTAATGTTATCACTCAACCCACTAGAATTACCAATCGCTGCAGCAACGTACTCGACCTATGTTTAAGCAATGACCTTTCTCTCTTCAGCAACGTCACATACTTACCCAGCATTAGCGACCACCTCGTCATTGAGCTAACATTCTCCATCACTACTCCTAAGAAATCACGTTATTGCAAAATCATTCACGATTATGCGAGAGCCGACTACGCATCTATCAACACCAACCTCGAAGAATTTTATCACATATTCTCAGTCAACTTCGCTGAAAGGACGGTCAATGAAAACTGGATTCTTTTCAAAGATAGACTAACATCCCTAATCAAACGTTTCGTTCCACTCACTCGAATGATATCCGATAACACTAACCCTTGGTACGATAAAACAGTTCATTGTCACTCTAACAGGAAAAAAAGAGCTTATACGAGGGCAAAGGCTCATAACACTAACGCATCTTGGAACGCCTATCACGAGTGCGCTAGGGCCTACAAATCCGCGATTCATGATGCCAAATCCAAATTTTATACTCATGACCTCCCCAACACTTTAACCAATAAACCTAAAAAGTTTTGGAAAGTAATTAACCCAGCACTCTCTCTTCCATTACAATTCGTTGACGAGTACGGCCTTCCACTTTCTGACGAACATAGTGCTCTTGAAACTAACATTTTTTAGCTCGATCTTTACCATTGAAGACTTGTCAAGTATGCCCAACTTGTGCCAACCCCTTCACCCTCCTATGAATCCTATCATGATCGACCGCTCTGGTGTACTGAAGGCCATTGATCAGCTGAAGGTGTCTTCTAGCTCTGGCGACGACCAAATAAACTCGAAAATATTAATAAATACTAAACACGTCTCTTCAACTTTCCTCTGCGACATTTTCTCGCAGTCTCTTCAACTTTCTGAAATTCCATGCGATTGGAAAATCGCTAACGTCATCCCCGTTTACAAAGCAGGTGATCGCCAACTAATCAACAACTATCGCCCGATCTCGCTCACCAGTGTGTCGTCTAAACTCTTAGAGCATATACTCTATTCTAACATAATAAACTTTCTAGACTCCCACAGCCTTCTTTTCGAGCATCAGCACGGCTTTCGCAAGTCATACTCATGCGAAACGCAACTAACAGCTTTTCTTACTGACGTTAACTCAAACTTTGATTCTAATAAGCAAACTGACGCCATATTTATTGATTTCTCCAAGGCATTTGACAGGGTCCCTCATCAACGTCTCTTACTGAAACTTAGAAATATTAATATCCATCCCTCAGTCGACAAATGGATCTCCGAATTCCTCACAAATCGCACCCAGTACTCATCTATTAACAACATAACAACACCAAATCTACCACCTGCACTGTAACCTCCGGCGTCCCCCAGGGAACCGTTCTTGGCCCCCTTCTATTTTTAATATACATTAATGATCTCTACCTCAACATCTCATCTTCAATACGTCTCTTCGCCGACGACTGTGTAATTTATAGACCTATTAATTCAAACCACGATAATCAAATTTTGCAGAATGACCTCGCACTTATAACTCAGTGGTGCCACAAATGGCAAATGACTTTAAACTTTAATAAATGTAAATCTCTATCATTCACCCGCAGTTCACATGTTTCATCCTTTTCTTATCACCTTTCCACTATCCCAGTAGCTACCTGTTCCTCATATAAATACCTAGGCGTTCACCTGACCTCTGATCTGTCATGGACTACTCACATAAATGCTGTCACTGCCGATGCTAACCGTACTCTCGGATTTCTTCGCCGTAACCTCAGACTAGCTACACCTTCAGTAAAACTACTAGCTTATACGACCTTGGTCAGATCTAAACTTGAATTTGCTTCATCCATATGGTCACCATGGCAATCATATCTAACTAACAACCTTGAATCCGTTCAAAACAGAGGTCTTCGTTTTATTTACTCTGACTACTCCCCATACACGAGCATATCAGGATTACGCAAATCAACTAACCTTGACTTACTTTCTTTACGTCGAAGGGTGTCACGTCTCACTCTTCTTCACAAAATCTTTTACCACAACAACCATCTAAAAGATTCTCTACTATCACCTCCCTACAGTATTTTCCCTCGTTTTGACCACTCATGTAAACTGCGCTCAATTACTTCGTCATCTGTCTCCTATAAAATGTCGACTTTACCATCTGCTATTGACGATTGGAACTCATTACCTGACCTCATTGTAAACATGACTGACACTAACAAGTTTGCTGCAGCCGTTAACCTCTTTCTTTCTGAAATACAAGTATAGGTTACAGCGTGTTTTTTATTAACTATTTTTGTTGATGTTTTTAGTGTGTTCACTCCCTTGTATAATGCCCCCTGGGGCCCTCAAGGAAAATAAATGATGATGATGATGATGATAAGTGTTCAAGACGTAAGTTCTAGAATTTCGTTCATATTTTCGATGCTTATGGGCTTATTTATGCATGACAAGTTCTTGGTGCTGTATTCCGCGCACGAGGAAAATATTTCTTGCTTGGCTACAGAATGGATGTATGCATGGACCATGCTTTATTTAACATGCAATCCAGCCTGCTCGACTGAGTCATCAGTGCAGCATCGGCGGCGTGAAGCAACCAATAGTAACGTAGTGCAATTTCCCGCTTCGTTGTGAACTGATCCCATCTCTTTTTACCCTTTGTTCTACCTACGGAACACAGACCACGAGAGAGAAGTTGCCGAAGTGCTGCAAGAGAGTGCACAGCCTGGCTGCTCGAAAGATGGCTCACTATGGGTGGAAGCTCCATCTCCTTCGGACCTTCCTGTAGACATGAGCCAGCAACTTGCCATCAATGAAGCTCCTGCGCCATCAAAACCTGCACCCAAGGTCAGCAAACACGTTTGTGTGGCGTGCAGGTTCACCAGCAGGCATTTTTATGCCTTTATGCGACATGTTCGGGAAGTGCACATGAACAAGGTTGCTTTGGTGTGCACTAGGTGTCGGAAGCGATTTGTCTGCATGGCTCAATATAAATTGCATACCAATTGTAGATGCACATCTTCAGAAAGCAATGATTACCGCGTTCTAAATAGGCATGAAAAGCAATATACTGTTGACTTGGCTGAGAATCGGACATCATTTTTTAATACAGCCGAAAGCTTAAGCAATGCTTCGTCAAGTGTTGCGTCTTGTTTTGAGGAAACTGATATGGATTGTGACTTAGCAAGTGTTCCAAGCCCAGATATTCTTACAAAGCTGTCATGTCTGGCGAGACAGCTTGAGTCGCAATATCGCTGTCCGATTGTTGGAGTTCTTACAGACTGCTGGTACCGCAATCGATGTGTCCGCACTCGAAAATGACCGCGCAAGAAAGGCCCTGTACACTTCTCAGGGGATTTATGTTCCACCAGAGGAAGTAAAACTTCCGCATGGTGAAAAAGCTTACTTTGTGCCACTCAAGAGACTAATTGAAAATTTGCTTCGTCATCCAATCTTTTCCCGCCACTTTCAGTCTCCATTGCAGACTTCAAACAGTGCGTTGCTAAAAGATTTTACTGATGGCATGCGAGTTCAAATGCACCCAGTAGCAAGCACCTAAGAGAACAACACTATTGTGATGCTTTTGTATTGCGATGACATTGAATTGGCCAATCCACTAGGCATGAAAAGAGGTCGCAGAGGCAAGCTAACAGTATTTTATGTCTCTTTTGTAAACCTACCACCATCAGAAAGGTCCAAGCTAGCCAACATTTTTTTGCTTGGAGTGGGGCAAGCAAAAGCTCTTAAATCATTAGAAGCAAAACATATGCTTCTTCAAGACTTCATTGCCACTCTAAATTTACTTCACAGAGGCTGCACGTTAAAAACTGTATGTGGTGAAAAGCTCTTTTTTGTTTTTTTGCTTGCCTATATTGGAGACGCATTGGTATGTCACAATATAGCAGGCTTTAAGGAAAGCTTCAGCAAAAATGTTCGCCTTGCTTGTCGAACTTGCACAGTACCCACATCTGAATTTCATAATTTTCACTATGAAGTTCAATGTCCACTACGTACTGAGTCTCAATATAAAGAGAACCTTAGGGCAATTGAGGCAGCTAGCTCAAAGAAAGACCGTACTGAATTGTCAGCACAGTGCGGGATTACGTCAAAATCAGTCCTCGCGGAAATTCCTAATTTCTCAATACTCACGGACTTGCTGTATGACCCTATGCACATTTTGTTGGAGGGAGTCATTCCTCTGGAGTTGACAGTTTTCAGTAAGTTCATTGTAAGGGAAGCAGCATGGATGACCTTAAGCCAGCTTAACACTGCCTTGTCTCGGTTCTGCTTTCATAGGCAAGTAAGAGTGACTATCCTCGCAGCTTTGAATCCGACTTCAGTTTTCCATTTGCAGCAAGCTCCAGTTTAATACTCCATCTTCATTTTCTTTTTATTATTGATGAATATCTGCCTGAAGAGGCTACGGAAGAGCCACATAGTGAATGTTTTGTGCTGCTTTGCATCATCACACAGTTATTTCTTTCTCCTGCTATCTCCCCAGATGCACTTGGAGACATTGAGTGCCTAGTAGCACGCCATAATGAACTTTTTGTGCAGCTGTATGGTTCCAGCTCATTTAAACCGAAATTGCACATGCTGGTGCACATGGTCACTCAGATACGGCGCTTCGGTCCTTCCCATCATCATTGGACAATGAGATTCGAAAGTAAAAACGCTCTTCCAAAGTCGAAGAAGTTCTGGAATTTCAAAAATATTCCATTATCTGTCGCAAATTACTTTCAGATGAAAATGTCAAGTGACCTGTGGTTAGGACCAGGGCAGCCTAAGCTGAGCTTTGCACAATGTGACACTGCACCAGCAGCCGGTGTACCAGTCAGCTTAACATCTGATTTTTTGCCATGTGGACTGCAGCCTAATGCCGTTGGTCAAACTGTTATGTCCGTACGTTCTGCCTTTATCTCTGGTGTCAAGATCTCTATTTCTGATGTGGTTGTGTTTGAACAAAATGACCATGCAATGTTTGGGGAAATAGAAACAATTGTACCTTGGCAAGGCAAGATTTTCATCGCTGTTCTGGTTCTGGTCAAAGTGAGCTATTCAAAGCGACTGAATGCATTTATTCTTCTCAAGACACCACACGCCATAGTGATTAAACCTGACGATCTTTTGTATCCTTGGCCACTGTATACATATGCTAAAAATGAGGCTTTTTATGCTATTACAAAATGTATTCATGAGTCACCTCTGTAGTGATGCCTGCTGTTTTTTAGCGATTTTTTTTTCGCAACGTGGCTTATTGTAAATTAAGTGAGCCTGTTTGTTGTGACAGGTGTTTTGGGAATAAAGCTTGGTTTATTTCCTCTTAGGTATTCTGTGACTGGCTCCTTGCAAACATGCCAGAATTCTCTGACTGTGTTCAGCCTATCCTGAAAGGGAAAGCTGTCTCGGAAAAGTCACAAACAAAACTGTCAAGAGAGCTGCGTGCAGAAATGACGTTATTCCTGGAGTAAGTTCTCCTATTTGCTCTTTGTTGAAGCTAACTATATCTTGTTGACATTTTTCATTGTCTCATATGGAGCTTCCAAAAATGCGCCATAATATACGTGAGGTAGAGACTTTAGACTAACGGATGGACATTCTACAAATCTAGTCGGCCAATTCGCATCAGGTCCTGGTTTAGCATTAGCATACGGACAGGAAAGAAAGATGCGGTGCATGAGCAGATGATTGCATGGTATATTTTCAGATTTCATAGGCCTCCCTGAAAGTACACGAAAGCTAACCCACAAAACACATAATGCCAGCATACTTTTAAACCTTACCTTAAGTCGCAAGCAACATTTGGTTATGTCAGTGGCCCTTGCCTATATAGTATATTTAAGCTCATTTTCACTTTCCTTTGGCGAAAGTTAGACAGAAACGTCTTAGTAGTGATGCATTATTTCTCTTCTAGTGAGCATGATCTCATTACCACTGGGAACAAGGGCGAACGGCGCTCGATGTACAAAGCCCTTGGGGAGGCGCTTGCCACGAAATACCCACTTCTTTTGTGGGATGAGCCAAAACCTGAGAGCCATCTTGTTGACAAACGGACCCATGTTTACGTAAGTACCTGGACATAGCTTATTCCTAAAATAGACTAATGTTCCTATAGCAGTGAGGGTTGTCGTTTATACAGTTATTCATAGCAGTTTTGTTGTCTTAAGATAAATGTCTATCATAAGTATACTTGATATCAGAAGACACCCTATCGGTAAATTGTGTTCAGAGATGCGATTGCCTACCTTCCACTTTTCTTCCTCGCATATTTTGATGCATATGTGATATACAAAAAACTAATTTATTTATTCAAATACCCAAAAGGCTCGAGATATATAAGCAGTAGCGGTATTCATTATAATTCGTCTCGTGCAGCTTAAATGGATAGCTTTTATATTCCTTGGCATCTTTTGCCAATGCTGCTAGCTGTTTCTAAGCTTTTATACTGTTAAAATTTTAAATATACAGTTTTTTATAGGACACCAGTGCAAGAACATTATTTTTTGTTGTTGCAAGAGGTACTGTACTTTTATTAATTTGCAGAGCCTATTCATAAGGAAGCTGACAGTGGCCCGAAAGGTGCGGAAGCACAGGAAGATGAGAAGTGCAGCTGCTGTAACTCCTTCCATGCCTACTCCAGCGCTCACAAAGGAGAGTGCTGCCGCCGAACTGGAGGTTCGCATAATTTTCATTTCACATTTATTTTTTACATATGTTGCTCAAATGTTTCTTGTTGCACTGTTCCAGGCTCTCAGATCGGCTGACCTGAGCACCGTGGCACTGGATATAGAAAGAATGAAATGCCTTCTTGAGGTCACTTACGAAGATTGCTGCAAGCGTCACGATGATCCTTTGCCTCAATATTTCTTGTTAGAAAGCATTGTAAGTACATATTTATTTACGAATATTAAAAGAACACAAAAACTCGGCATTGCCTAACATTCTGCTCTAAAACAGAGAACCGATCATATAATTATAAATTTGTGGTATGGGTCAAGCTTTGCCTTCTGCTCAATTGTAAATGAACCGATTTATAATTATTTTTTTCGTTTTTGGTTGTGATGGCACGAAGGATATCAAAAGGCACTTTTGCGAGAAATATATATATATATATATATATATTTCATTTCATTTCATTTCATTGCACCACCTTTTTTCAGGGATGTCTGATTTGCAATTAATGACTGATTTTACTTCCTTGTACCAACTTTTCTCAGCTCTGCATTGAAGTCGAACTCCGATTTAAGTGCAAGGTTGGGGACCTGGAGAAAAAGGTGAAAGCGGTGGTGGAAGCGTTTCCACATAAAGAAGAACGGGAATGCACATTCGTCGACATTGGCAAGCATTTACAAGGCCATTCTAGGCACACACTCATCAACGAGGTTTGTGGAATTATTTGCATGCATCCATCTATTAGTTTTTGTGACATCCAGTGCATTTTTGTGCTTTAAGATTCATTTAAATGAAGGTTAAGTGATATCTAAATGCTCTTCCAAAGACTGTTTTGTGCGACACTTATTTCACTTATGCGGGGAACTTTGTTGATTACTGGATGCTCATGGAATATAATCTGCCATTCCACAGAATGCAATGCCTAATAACCTGCAAGTCACAGCACTTCATGTGTATATATACTGCGCTGAACGCACTTGCGTTTAGGCTGGCAGTACTGAAGAAGTCATCTGGATCTCGGGTGGAAATCTAGAGCGAGCTCTGATTTTCTGCCTGCTGATGTACTACATTAAGAACCTTGACTACCCACCAGCGTTCTGAACGGTCCTCGTCTTACTGCAGAAGATAACTCTACCTGACACAAAAGTGCCCCGTGGACTGCTCACGAACCGGCTGAAAAATTTGCTCATTATGTTGAAGAAGAACAATTTGTGTTAACTTTTCGAAAGCAAATACCATTAAAAATAGGTTGCGTCCTGAGATGGGGAAGTAAATGTCGTCTGGTTCCTTGACTTCTTTCTTCTGAATCGCAGAATACTTTTTCTTGTCTTGCAGTGAATGTTGTCATTTTTAAAGTGCCGTTCACTTTAAGTTCACCTTATTCTACCGAATCATGGTTTAGGTTTTACTAACAGGTTCATGTGTTATAATATAGGGTAAGAAACCATAAAAATATTAACAACTCTATAGCTCATACACTTGTGTTTTCCGTGCTGCCTATATATCCATTTCAGAGCTCTTATTATAGTTTCCCTTTAACAACTGTGATGTACTTTATAGTTACAGTTTTGAATTATTTTTTAGCACTTGTATTTTATGTTCATTATGTCTATCGTACAGCAGCTAAACTGTGTTTACACATCGTTTTACATAAGTCATATTTTTTTTCCTGTTCGGTTCTGTTGTACGAGTGCCAGTGTGGTTTCGTAACTATAGATGTAAAGGCCATGCTGGTTAAGCCGAAGCTTCTGTCGAAGTGAGATTTAACGTGAGTTTATTTGCTTTCTTTAAGCGAATTTTCAACTTTTTTTGTGTCCGGCTAGCACTGATATAATATGGCCTTAGATTCTAAAGTGCTTTGTACACCGTTCAACAGCGCTCTTTGTGATGCATATATGCTACAATACCTGCTAACCGCTTACGATAATAGTGCCTTTACATTATGGACGTAATTTATATCACAGCTTTTTATTGATGTATCCCAGACTCGGGAATTTGTGATTATGTATATTCTGATACTTCGGAATCAATTGCCGTTTTTGTATAATACAGTATTTTTTTTTTGTTCTCTAGTTTTTCACTACTTTATGGGTTGTCCCATTTTTGTACGGGTCAAATCACAATCGAGCAGGATGCTTTTTGTGAATTTTCGCCAAAAATGCCATTTTTAATAAAAGGATTTCTTATTCCAGCTGTTGCTTCACTCAAAGGTTACACGAACACATAGAAGTTACCTATAACTTTCTGGCGGGCAGATACCTTTATAAAGGTTACAATGCTAACGAGATTGTAACCTTTCTATAAGTAAATTAGAGGTAACCTTTGCCACTGTAACTTTTACAAAAGTTACATTAGTAAAGGTTACATTTGTGTAACCTTTAACTTATAGATGCACAAAAATGTGAAAACGTGCACCTTTACAAAGGTTACCATGATTAGAGTGTACCTCAGGCTCGGAGAGGTTTGCAGTCACGTTGCTGCCCTACTCTTTTTCTTCGAGGCTGCGGTCAGACACGGAGCCACCGATGTGTCCTCGACCTCAGTGCGCTGCGCATGAAGTGTCAGCTCAAGCAGTGGAAAGGTATTACATGTTTGTCTACTGAATTCTTACTGCAAGATAAATTGACGCAAACAAGATACACTGATTACCTTTGTTTCAGGAACTTCTAAAAATAAGTTGAAAAAATCATCATTCCGATTGATTTGTCTACCGTAATATACCGCGTAATCGCCCCCCCCCCCCCTCGTGTGAGCGCCCCCTCCCTTTTTCCGCACATTTCGCATTTCTGTAAACTACCAAGTAAGCGCCCCCCCCCCCCCCTCCCCCCTTTTTCCGCTGCCGGTGGCCCCGAAAAAAGTTTCGTTCTAGAAGTTTTGTTTTTATGTGTAGCCAGGGATCCAATCCAATCCAAAAGTAAATGTGAACCACGTGAACCTTTTGTTCGCCTTTTTGTTGTTTGACGGCGCCGGAACCGGTCGCGTTACTGCGTGCGCTATGCACTCGTACACTGTGCAAAAGAAGATAGAGGTCGTCCAGTGGCACAGGCTGAATGGCAAGAACGTGCATCGGACATCGCGTCAGTTCAAGCTTGATCGCAAGAGAATCCGCGAATGGGACAAGAAGTATGAAGTGCTTCTTCAAGAGAACTTCGGAAAGTCGAAGTTACGACGCAAGTTGGGAAACGGAGCCCCCGTTTTCAGCGAGGAAGTGGTCGACGCGCTTTTTGAATTTCTTGAGTGCGAAAGAAGTGCTGGACGCGCCGTCAGCAACAGGCTCCTTTCTAAAGAAGCTGTGAGGCTAGCAAAAAACCTACAGCTGGGCAATTTTGTGGCCTCCAGTATGTATTTAAAAAGGTGGAAGGCGCGGTTCGGTGTTTCGATGCGGCAAGCAACTAATGAGAGCCAAAAAGTGCCCGAGGACTGCGCGGAGGAGACGCAAGCATTCCGTGCTGCAATCGGCTCTCTGCGAAGTCGCCACAACCTGACTCTATTCAACATAGCGAATATGGATCAAACAATTGTCCGAATGGACACTCCGGCAAACCGGACCAACAACCTCGTGGGAGAAAGTACTGTCCGGATTACAAACACCGGCTGTGCCAGGCGGGGTTTAACGGTTGCCTTAGCAGCCTGCGGCTCTGGTCACAAGCTCCCGGCGTTTATCATCTTGAAGGAGCCGAGCGGAAAAATTCAAGCGAGGGCCTTCATGAGCCTTCGTGTACCAGGTGAGAACAACATTTCGCTTGCTATTTTGCCACCGAGAGAAATAGTATAATGCATTATGAGCTCGCGTTAAATACAATGTCTTTTTTTTTTTGTTCCATCTTTAGCGAATTGCCGCGTGACCGCTTCTAAAAATGGCTGGATGACTTCGGAGAAGTTCAAGGAGTGGCTGACCAAGGTATGGGGCCCTAACACTGACGACGAACGGCGGCTCCTGGTGTTGGACCAGGCGCCAATACACAAGACCCAAGCGGCAAAAGATGCAATTCAGGAATGCGACACGGACATTGTGTAGGTGCCAGCCAGTTGCACCAGCCTTCTTCAACCTGCCGACGTCTTTTGGAACAAGCCGTTTAAGGCCAATCTTCGGAGAACCTGGGAGGCCTTTATGCGGAAGGGAGAGAAAACGCCGAAGGGAAACCTGCGGAAACCATCACAGCAGGATGTGCTGGACTTTGTGGCTGAGGCGTGGGCTGTTGTCCCAGAGGAAACCGTAGAGCGCTCGTTCAAGGGCTGCGGCATTACGAACGCGCTCGACGGGTCCGAGGACGGTGAGCTGCACGATCAGCTCGCTGACATCGGCGCCGTGGTCCCGGAAGACCGCGACGAGCTGAAGGATGAGTGTGTGGACCTGGTTTTTGGGTCAGACTCTGAGGAATCCTTCGATGGTTTCGACAGCGAATAAAAGGATAAAGTTCGCAAGGAAACTGTCTACGGAAATCATTTTTGCTAAGACTGCAGTCTACATTGCATACTTTTAGTGGCCGCCATTTTCTTTATCCGCCACCTTGAATATTGGTGCGGAAAAGAGGAAGGGCCCCCCCCCCCTATTTTGGTTGAATTATCTCTTGAGTTGGGGGGGGGGGGGCGCTTTCTCGGTATTTTACGGTATGTAAGTCGTGCGCATCTACCCCTAAATATGTACCTGCCCATTCTAAATGTTTGTATACGCGTCTCGCTTTAAATCTAGGCTGGCCCATCATCTGCTGTGGACATAGACTTTTCGCACCCAAAACGTGGTGGCCTGCCAAAAGAGCCAGCTTCACAAAGGATTATTGTTCCACCACAGCCCAAAGGCAATCCCTTACAACTCTTCCTCCACATAAAGGTATGTGTCCATTGCCAAAGGAACTGCAGCTAGACCAGATTTTTTTTGTAAATTGATGAAACAGCTTTAGGTAAACATCTCTGAACAACTGAAGGATGGGACAGTAGCATGTTAAATCCTAACCAAGCAGGCCTCGAGTACCAATGGTACTTCAAACATTTTCTTTCTGGAAAGGCGTGGTCAGTAGGGTTGAGCCCCATCGACACTTTCGTACGTTCAGAGAGATTACCTCTTGATCCCATGAACACTATAGAGATCAATGAGGTAAACAACTATGCCTACTCGAGTAAATATATAATCCAGCAAGTAAACACTGGCTCAGATTTTCTTAATGGTGCACCTCTTGCAGTTTTATGACATATGTGGATTTACTGCATTGAAATATCTCCCATATGTATAAGCCAAGGGATTTATTAAGCACAGTTTCTATTTACCATGATAATACTGCAAATGTCTGTACTATACTTTTCTAGCAGCACAATCAGAGTCTGCATGCACCTTCATTTTGGCTGCATGTGCAGCCAAAGCACCTCTCAAAGCTGCAGCCTCATGCCTGTGCACTCAACAAAACTGCACCAATCGTCCTCTTATATGCACATTCCAACCTTACTAGCCATGGCAGCTTTCGCCCCTCTTTTATAGACAGTGGATGCAGCCACTTGTACTGTTTATTTGGTTTGTTCGTCATATTATGCTGCCGTAAAGCTCTTCATTGGTGCACAACTCTGTCACCACCTGTTAAATAAAACCAATTGTAATTTCAAACTTCAAAATCGCATCGGTTTCTCTGATAAAATAACAGTACCTCATCATGCTGCAGTGAAGCATTATTTAGAACATAACCAGTACCACCCATGGTTACTCTTGCAGGAACGCTCTCCAGGTGCAAAGCTCTTGAAGATGGTGCCCTCTCATCAGCTGGATCCAGAGGCCACAGACACAGCTTCAGAGGATGGGGATGAGCCTGAGCTGCTCCCACTTCCCCTCACAAGCGTCTTTCAGGAGACCTACAAAAACTTGCAAAAGGACGAGCTCAAAGACATCCTCATCTCGGTCTATGATTGCCTTATGGTCAGCAAGGTAGAGGCAGACTTCTTAGAGCACAGCTCGCGGAAGCAGTCGCGGTCGGAAGCATGGCACTTACACAGGAGGGGGCGCATTACTGCATCAAATTTCTGTAGAGTGCAAACTCTGCAGGGGAGCTCTGGCCCAACACTCCTAATTACAGATGTGATGGGTTATGCCACAAACACTAACATCGGTGGCCAGATGCCTCCACAAATTTTGTGGGGCATTGAAAAGGAGCCAGTTGCGAGGCAAAGCTTCGTGGACACAGAGGCACCAAAGCACACCGACTTTAGTGTTGCAAAAGTGGGACTCGTGGTTAATCCACAGTTGCCATACCTGGGAGCTAGCCCAGATGGGATAGTCAGCTGTGCATGTTGCCCCCAGGCTGCGCTCGAGATCAAGTGCTCGTACAAATACAGACATGTGCATCTAAGCACAGTGGAGGACAAAGATTTCTATCTTGACGCAGACATGACGCTCAAAGAAAACCATGCACATTATTTTCAATTACAAGGCCAGATGGCTCTCACTGGGCTTCAGATGGGGTATTTTGTAGTGTGGACGGAGTGCTCTCTGGTGACCATAAGGATACAAAGAGATGAGCAGCTGTGGGAGGAGCTTCTGACAAAGCTGGAATCCTATTTCTTAAACCACATTCTGCCTGAGCTGGTCACGTGGCGGCTAGATCCAAATGTCGGGCGTTCTGCTGTGGCAGTGTACTCCACTTGTAAGACGCCAGAAAAGGGTCGCATGATTGCATGTGACTCAGACATATGCAGAAGTATCTGGTACCATTACAGGTGTGTAAATCTGAAAAGAAAACTATCAAAGAAGTGGTATTGCACGAGCTACAAATAAGTATACAATGTTGGAAATTGCCCGCAGAGAAATACTGTCCAGTCTTGAAGGACATTTATTAGCTTTTTCTGCTAGGCATCTTTTCCTACCACAGAAGAATTGTCACTGCACCAGTCTTTCAATCCGGAGGCCCCTTTTAGCGCCAGTAACTAGCAACTCTCACTTCTCACCGCATGTTCTGATTCTTTTGCAATATTCCCTTCTGTCAGTTATGCATTCTGCTCTTTATGTGTTCATGTGAATAAAAAAGTTGTTTATTGCTGTTTGTATTTGTAAGATCCTACGTGCTTTTTGAAGAACAGACCAAGAACCACCATCCTTCTTGCCAAACATTAAAGTGTGCATATATATTTACAAGAGCAGCACATATAATGATTATTTTGTCAATCGTTGCCATGCCCCTGCCCCCTTTTTTTTAGAAGTGAGACAGGAATGGTCCATTCTAGGAGGTGGAACTTCTTAAGCTGATCAATGGTTCTCTCGACTTGTATCCGAACACTGGAGACCCTTCGAGACACTTCAACTTCTTGGCGTGTTAGCTGAGTCTTCCCTCATGTATAGGCCGGGACTATCAAGGAAGCCTTACGAATAGCTAGAAGTTCTTCAATGGGAAATCCCCTATCAGCCATCACGAGGTCCCCGCTCTGAATAAAGTCCAAAAACCCACAGTGTCTTGCGAGCTCCAGAGCGCTCACTTTCCCACCCCAGCATTTATAAATGAAACAGATCCCTCCACTTGGACAAATGGCGATTAAGAACTTTACCGTGTTATGATGTTTGTGGGACGAGAACGTTTGCGTCCTTGCCTTAAAGGTGCGCGGTCGCTCAATGAAGATTTCCGAGCGATCAATGATGCACCAAAGGTTCCGTAGCATTGGTACCTTGCACAGGTTTGGGAGCCGCTGTCTAACTGTGTCCGCTTTAGGCTAGAGAATGCATGGAGACAGCTCAACACTGAGGATGTTAATCCAGGCATGGAAGACATTTGATACAGTTCCAGGAGAAATTCCGAACCTCGACGAGAGGTCCTCGTTGAGGGGGATGAGGCGGAGCTTCATCAACACCATCAGGAGTTGGCTCCAGTGTGGTATCTTGGCACTGAAATTTCGAGTGTAGAGTGCCAGAATGTAATGGAGCAGAGCCCAGAACATTCCGCTGCTTGGCAATCCTGTAAAGAACTCCACCTCCGAGTCATTCTTGAGGTCGACGTTACCATACACAATTTTTGTTTCTTCTTTGAAAGCTTGATTTTCCATTTGCAGCCGCCTATTTTCTTCTAGAAGAGTGACAATGTCAGCGGTAAACAAATCTGTTTCGCACGACACGCCTGTATCTCTTCCTCATCCATTGGTGCATCGGGCGCGTCAAGTGCACCGGCCACGTCGGGCGCGTCGGCCACTTCGGGTTGCATCCGTGACGACGCACGATGATACCGCCGCAGTGCAGCGGGGCTCCACCGGGATGAAGAAGCCGGATGAGCAAAGATGTGTGGCACCCAGTCTGGGTGGTTGGGATCGTCAGATGGTGATCCCAGAGAAAGTTGAAACGAAACGAAACTTATGGCTGCGATGCTCGCGAAGGCCTGAGGACGTGGCAGCTTAAGAAAATAAAGCGGTAATCTTCTCTACAAGTATACATAGCACTCATACTTACCAGTCGTGAAATGTTTGCTGCAAATCCTGGTATCGTTATTGGGCACAAACCCAACGCATGTAACAGCGACGGCCCAAGCTTGGCGGCGTCCCTCGTTCCTCGGAAATCTAAATAACTTAACTTTTGACAGTCTGTTCGTCCCGGCCTGAATTGTGCAGTCAACTGCACAACACTGTGGCATCTTCGCTGTGACCTGATGTTCAGAAGACTAAACGGTAATGTTATAAATTGCTGAAACACACGGAGCTACACGCAAGAGCTCCCTTCCATAGTTGCCTGTGTCAGGCAATCGACGCACTTACGTTCAGCGGCGTCAATTCGCGAATTGTGAAGCCGACTGTCAAACTCTGCGGCATCTTCGTAAACGGTAAACACCCAGAAAACGCAAAACATGTGGGTAGAATAACCGAACGAACACAACCTCCTGAACGCGTTGCCACTGAAAAACATGTAAACAAAACCCGAATCGGAAAAGATTTCTGCCCACTGTCATGGCGACCGGAAGTGCCCGGAATGCCATGTATAGCCACCAGCAAAGAAGACGAACAAGCCCAGCGGTCAATAAGCGCGAGCGCAAGGAATTCAATGCTAATCGGGTCGGCGGCAACGGTCAACGGTGCCTAGCTCCTTCTCGTTTGGTGTATATTAAATAACTTAGTGGTGACCCGAGCAGCACCATTTCATCTTCAACCGACCATCATGGCCAACAACGGAGACTCCGCCTCAGCCGATTTCTCATCGGTGCATTTACGTCTTCCAAAATATTGGACCGCCGATCCGGAAGTATGGTTCGCTCAAATTGAGAGCCAATCCTGCACATATAGGATTACTTCTGAAATCCGCATGTTCCATGACGTCCAGGTCACCGCTTATAAATTATTTAATATACACAAAACGAGAAGGAGCTAGCCACCGTTGACCGTTGCCGCCGACCCGATTAGCATTGAATTCCTCGCGCTTTTGCGCTCGCGCTGATTGACCGCTGGGCTTCTTCGTCTTCTTTGCTGGTCGCTATACTGCTATAAACTTTACTGCGGTCACACTAGCCACCCTGTTGTCATACTAGACAAACCAAG